AGAGAGAGAGAGAGAATCTGAATTTTCTTTAAAATTTTTCACATTTATTTGTGTTTGTGTGTAGAGGTGTGCATGTACAGGTAGAGGACAAGCTGCAGGAGTCAGCTCTCTCCTTCAACCATGTAGGTTCCAGGGACTGAACTTAGTCCATTAGATTTGGTGGCAAGTGCCTTTACCTGGTGAGCCATCCCACACACCCCAATATCTGAATTTCCCAACTATGCCTATTTATTATTTTTATTTAAGAAAATGCCCATGGCTTGGTGGCACTGTGGACTAGACTACTTTTTTTAATTTTTAAAAATCACTGTTATATTAGTAAGACTATCAATTTAAGTTCCTTGGGGGCCATGTTAATATATTATTAATGGTGCTGCTCATACATTGTCTGGCAAGGAAATTTTGTATGTTGAGATGCTCAATAAACTTTCATTACATCTAGTAAAAGATTATTTGTCAAAAATATTTTAAAATAATAATGATCTGAGTCTATTCCCTAAGGCAATTCTGAGTAGGTCCCAGGAATTTACAGCGGCTGGGAAATATGAGGATGGTTCATTGCAATTTGTGGCCAGGCTAATGCAATTTATATCTATTTCCTGAATTAAGAAATCTGCTATGCACCAAAATTATTTGTAAAAGATGCATATTTAGAAAAGATCATATCCAAGAATTTGTGTGACTCCCTATCCCTGACCTCTCTGTACCAGTTATCCATGCAGTGACTCTTATCTTCAAATCTATCTCTGTTTGTCCTGTTTTGTGACCCTGAAAATGGGCTGCATAAACAGCTCTAGAGATAGTAGCTGCTCCCTGTATTCTGCTCTTATATACTTTAGAATTCTCTTTATCTCCTAGTTTTTAATTACTAACGTTACATTAAAATTTCCCTGTCAAAATTACTGGTATAGTTTCTGGTTCCTACTGGAACCTTGACTAACTCCCTCAAACCAAAGCAAAACAAGAACAAAACTCACAAGTAAATGAATAAAACAAGACAAAAACAATCAAATTCATAGTTGCAATCCTAAAGCATACTGTTTTATTAAGTTTGACAATGTGGAGAAACAGCATTAGCTGAACTTGTTAGCTTGATGCCTCCTGAAACAGACTGTGATGGCTACACAGGAAGTCAGCGTGTTGCTGCAGGGTTGCTTCCTAGTGCACATTTTAGAAGGATGCATAAAATGTCTAGGATGTGGCAATGTGGTTCTTACAGAAAAAGAGACAATAAAAGAGAAGGTGCTAAATTTGTTTGCCATTAAGTGCTAGGCTGGCAAGATGGCTTAATGGGTAAAGATGCTTGTCGCCAAGCCTTATGCTCTGAGCTCATTCATTGGGACCCACGTGGTAGGAGAGAACTAACTCCTGCAAGTTGTCTTCTGATTACACACACACACACACACACACACACACACACACACACACACACACCCCACAGCATGTATACAACCACTCTCACCCATCCAAAATAAATAAATGTAATAAAAATAAGATCTAACAGATTTATAACATGTCATGCAGAGTAGAGCTGTACTAAATGGAATTATAAAAATCACTTTGAATAGTCTAGAAAACTGACATTAACTTCTGTTATCTGTCTCCTTGATGTCACTGATTTATTCAGTCAAATATTTACGGTGATGTAGCAAAAAAGATAATATCCTGGCCTCATGGAATTTTACTTTTTGTGGTTGGGGAAAAACCATCAATAAGTCAATTTGGAATAAAATTTCAGGTTTTATAAAGAAAGTGATGCAGGGTGGAACGGGCGAGGGTACTGTACTAGGAGGTGATGACTTACTGTTTTACATATAACATGTGATCAATGTTACAATAAATACAACAACAGTTATGTCTTCAGTACAGGAGGAGAACAGGATGCATGTAATTACATAAGAAAACAAAGTGAATACACACTGGTAAATTGTAAGTCTATGTATACACTAAAGAAACTTACCCTATAGAAAGCGCTGGTCAAAGGGAGTAAGGCTGCAGCAATATTATATTCTTCTAAACTTGAACAATCCTTAAAGGAAACAAAGGCAAATGGGCATCAATGGAGTATTTGCCAGATATCATGAATACATGACACACCAAGTCTGGGGTACACTGTTTATGGTCTTGTGAGGTTTATCATTTCATTCCAAAGTATCACTAAGGCATAGCTGGGCAAGTCTGGGGGATATTGTTCCTGAAGCACATTCTTTAAGAAACAAGGTTAAAACACATGTAGGAAAGATATACATCACTGGTGAACAGCTATTTTGTTTTTACATAGTCTGAAAGGTGTTTAATTTATAGAAAAAAAGTCTTAGAAAGGGCCTTAAGATTAAACTACTATGTTTCATTGAGTCAAAGACTGTATTCTTCTGTGGTTTACTACCTCTGATACTGTGGTGTATTTTATAATTGATTAGAAGTGGTTTTTTTTTTCATTTCTAGTGCTATATAAAAAGTGTATCTTGTTATAGATGAGGCAATAAATATCACTGTCACTGAAATCTATTGGGTAAAATGTTGAGAAACAGTAATTATAAACTCAGTGGAAGCATAAAATGGTATAGCTGCTATGGAAAATAGTATGGTGCTTCCTCAAACTCCACCCCCCCCCAAAAAAATGAAAGCAGCAAAACAGACAGACCTAGTGTATCAAATTTAAAAGTAGTGCATTTACATATGGAATTACTATATATTCAACGTATCTACTTCTGGATATAAACCTGAAGTAGTAAAGACAAAAACCAACAGCAGGCAAAAAGGTATGTATTTGTACACTTACATATGTGGTGTGTGTATGCAGCTATACACACAGTGGAATATTATTCAGTTTTAAAAAGGAAGGAGCTTCTGAAATATGGATGAACCTTGGAGATATTGCATAGGTGGATATTTGTACAGCTATACTAATCAATTCTCCTCTGCCCAGCAGGAGAGAACACAAAGACAGTCATAGGAAGGCCAGGACTTGGAGCAGTGTCCAAGATCAGCAAAATGGTATGAAAAATTTAACCTTAAATAATGAGTTTTCTCCATCAAAAGGCAAATTTGGGGGCTGGGGAGATGGCTCAACTATAAAATACTTGCTGTGCAAGCATTAATGCCCGAGTTTAATCTCTAACACTCATGTAAAAGACAGACACAGTGCATGTGCTTATAATCCCAGCACCGGGGATGTGGAGACAGGAAGATGCCTGAGGCTCACTGGTCAGCCCACTAGTCTTACTGGCAAGCCCCAGGTCCCACTGAAAAACCTTGTCTCAAAAAAAAAAAAAAAAAAAAAAAAAATCGAATAAAAAAATAAAAAGGTCGATGACTCCTGAGGAATGAAATCCAAGGTTTACTTCCTTTGGCACTCAAACATGAACATACACATATACCTGTTACACACAGACAATCTGAAACTATTTCATTTATCAGTCATTCATTTTTGTGTCCCATTCACAAAAGGGAGACCTTAGGTAGCAATTGTTATAGTGCAATTTTCTATTTTCCTGATGAGATTTTGAAAAGCAGCCCAGAGCCAGCCATAGAGCCATGTCTGGAATTTGCACTTAACTACCCATCAGTGTCTCCCTTTTGTACTTGGGTGATTTCACTCTGTTCTTGAGGTAAGGGATATGAGTGCTCTCAGCTTCCAGCAGTAATTTCAGAGTGTGAGACAGGGAAGGTGGAGAGAAGCTGAACAGGATAGTAGGAGGTTACAGCTACATAATGTAGCTGTTATAAAGGACAAGGATTCTAGAAAACAGGAGGAGGACTTGAAAGGCAGAGAGCAGATATAATCATAGATAGCCTTGACCAATTTCAAAATACTAATGGGGCTCAGCAGGGCCAGCTGTGAGGATGGGGAGAGTCTAGTACTGCCCCCTAAGAAAAAAAGAAAATGTCTTTCACAAGTCATGGCATATACTCCAGAGCCCCACAGTTTTGTATAACAAGAGTAGATCTGGTGCAATAGTTTGCTAAAAAGACAACCAAATGCATGAAGCTACTCTTTAAAAGCAATTTTAGAAGGCACTAAATATTCAACTCCAACGTGTAATGGAATAAGAAAAATCTTTGCAATAAAAAGTCATTTTCATATAGCTCCCATTCTCTGACACAACTAAAAAATAAAGCTGAAAGACAGGCTCAAAGTTGTTTTTTTTTTTAAAAAAATTATTTTTATTTTATGTATATGAGTGTACTACCTGCACGTGTGTAAGTGCAACGCATGCAGAGGTCAGAAGACGACGTTGGATCCCCTGGAACTGGAGTTACAGGCGGTTGTTAGCCATCATGTGGATGCTGGGAATTGAACCTGGGTACTATGCAAGAGCAGCCAGTGCTCTTAATTGCTGAGCCATCTCTCCAGCCCAGGCTCAAAGTTTTTATACTAAAATTTAATACTTCTAATTAATTCATTATATTGAATGTTAACTGGATTAATAAGCAAATCAGTAAAACTTGAGTGACATACATGAGAAAGGAAGGAATGAGGAAAAGGAACAAGGACAGAAGGTTCAGAGTAACATGTCGGAGATGATGGAAAGTGAAGATGAAAGTAAGGAGAGAGCAGTATCACAGATGTCAGGCAAAGCCAGAAAGACAGTTTTCAATGTTTCAGAGGAAATTCATTAAAATAGAGAAAAGTGTTAAGAAATCGATGAATACAGGGCGTTGCGACTTCTTTAAAAGTGAGTGAAAAGGTTAGGAAGGAAGGAAGATAGCCACTTAAAGAGTTGCTACATCTATATGGGTAGTTTATCCATCTCGATAGGGCAGAAGCAGATGAATACTAAGATGTAATTTAATCCTTTCATTAAGAATTGGAAGGGAGATGGAGGAATGGCTAAGTGGTTCAGAGCACCAGCTGTTTTGGCAGAGGACCCAGGTTTGGTTCCCAGCACCCACAGGGCAGCTAACAACCATTCATAACTCTAGTTCCAAAGGAATCTGACCCATCCCCCTTTCTGACCTCTGTAGGCATTGTACGACAGAGGTGCACTTACATACACATAGACAATACATGGGTCTCATACACATAAAATTAAAATAATAAAATATTTTAAAAAGTATTTCATTAAAAAAAAGATTTAGAACAGCTTTAAATACAGCAAGACGGAAAATCCAGTGGAAGAGAGAGATGAAAAGAAAGATAACTGGTAAAATAAGGCCTCAGAGCCATGCACTAACTAATCCCAGCAGGATTCATTTTTGAAAATGTATCATTTTCATAAAAAGCAAATATGCAGAATTTATAATAAATAGCAGGATCCTTGACAATATCAGCAATATAACACAAGAGAAAGAAGCTAGGTCCTGGAAGGAAGGTTTAAAGCTCAGAGGTGTTTGTTTTGCTTTTTTTTTTTTCAAGCAACAGAGTTTGAAGACGTGTAGAGCAAAGCTCCTCAAAGTGAAGTACTCGCACCACAAGGAACTGACAGCTGCTGCTTACAGGAATTGGGGAAATGCCCAGTAAATAAAATTAATCATGTTTTTTTTTTTCTTTCTTTCAAACTACAGAGTTTCTCAATGCTTTAGTCTGTGACTCTGGAAGAATTTGGTAGCTAGTCTTTCTAGATATAATTTCACTAAGAGTTTATTTCTCCTCCCTCTTCTCCCCACCCCTCCATTTCCTTGATTCAGCTAGACTGGCTGGCAGCCAAACTCCAGGGGTCCTTCTGTCTCTGTTAGGACTGCAGGCACGTACCACCATGCTCAGCTTTTACTTGGGTGCTGGAGACTGAACTTAAGTCCTGGTGCTTCCGTGTCAAGTACTTTACTAACAGAACCATTTCCTTAACCCCATAATACTTCCCATAACTGTTTATATGAATTTAAAAAAACTAACCTTATAACAGGCCATAAATTAAGTACTAGTATTTTTCAAAAGATTAATACCACATTCTGTTGTTAGACCACTATGTGATTAGGTTAAGAAATCAATAATGCAATAAAGTATTAAAACATTTAAAACTGTACCTGGTAAAAAGTAATCAATAAATGTTACTATCACTAAAGCCATGGAAGTTTAGGATACCACAGTATACTTGTCTATCTATAACACTATAAATGCTTGGGCACCATTTATGTATTGTTTATGTTTGAGAGGGGGGTCTCATGATGGTGTCAGGCTGGTTCGGAACATATGGGCTCAAGTATTTTTCTTATTTAGGCCTTCTGAGTAGCTGAGACTACACATGTGCCCCAATGTACCTGGTTTGACAGTATTTTTACTGCAGTGAATAAGAAGAACCATCAATAGTTATAGTGGACAAGGTGGCTATACTCAGAAAAGTTATATCTTAAAATGATGGAGAAATAAAAATATTTCAAGATAAGCACAAGTTAAAATAGTTCATAATAAGCCAGGTGTGGTGGCGCACACCTTTAATCCCAGCACTTGGGAGGCAGAGGCAGGCGGATCTCTGTGAGTTCAAGGCCAGCCTGGTCTACATAGTGAGTTCCAGGACAGCTGGAGCTACAGGGAGACCCTGTATCAAAAAGACCCCCCCCAAAAAAAGAAAACATTTCATAATAACCAAGACAGCATTGCAGAAAATTCCTTTCTTAAAAAATATTTTATGGGCATGGTGGTGCATGCCTGTAGTCCCAGCACTTGGGAGGCAGAGGCAGAAGCAGGTGGATCTCTGTGAGTTCAAGGCCAGCCTGGTATACACAGTGAGTTCCAGGACAGCTCAGGCTACAGGGAGATCCTGTCTCAAAAAGACCAAAAAAAAAATTTTTTTTTAATTATTTTAATTTTTATGTGTATGAGTATATTGCCTGTGGGTATATAAGTAGACCTGTGTCATGGAATACCCGTAGAGGTCAGAAGAGTGGGTCAGATCCCCTGGAATTGGAGTTATTAGACAGTTGTTAGCTGCCATGTTAGTGCTGGGAACCCAACACAGGTCTTCTGTAAGGACAGTCAGTGTTCTTATGTTCTTAACCACTGAGCAATCTCTCCAGTCCCCAGAAAAAAAATTTTTTTTTTTTTGGTCTTTTTGGGACAGGGTCTCCCTGTAGCCCCAGATGGCCTAG